CCCGGTCTCCCACCCTCAGGTAGACGCATTCAAATTTTGTTGACTGTGGGATGGGGGAGCGCCGTTACCTTGCCGCAGAAGCAATACCTATTGATCTTCTCACATTTGCATGTTTTTGAACTGCTAGGTTGGCAGAAGCTAGGCCTCACCCCGCTCCCTGGATTTAAACCGTCAACCTTTAGGTCAGCAAGTTCAGCAGCTCAGCGGTTTAACCTGCTGTGCATACCCCTGGAATCTTGTAACTATTATCTCCTAGTAAAAAGGAGATTGGGTAGTAAAAACTACCCTGTGCCCTGCAATAATCGTGATATTGATGGTGACAGTAATAATGACCATTCCATCCCTCCTTTTCCCTGAAATCTTGGTCTTCCATCAAAATACAAGTCAAGAATTGGGGGTGAGAAAGCCAAATTATTTGTAATAAACAGTTTTAATAACTATTTCATTGAATATTCTATGACGTTTAGCCTTCTGTTACAAGGCTATAAAAACAATAAACTGAAATAGGTTCTCAATATCAATACATTTGTATGCTACAAAGAAAAAGTGGTGATTGGCAGAGGCTGTTTAGGGTGAAGCATATAGTTTGAGAAACTACTTTCAAGACCAGAACTCCTATCTTGTGATATTCCTGAATACCAATGATTGTCTGTGTTTATGTGTGTATGTGGTATATAGGGACTCCAAAGTTCAGAGATTTGCTCCAGGAAAGAGATTATAACTATTCCATCTTTCACTTTGCACCTTTTGTGTTTTATCAAAGTGTCCTTGCATGTTTCAAATGCAAACTGCCTTGACTTTTCACTTTATTAGTGGCTTTGGGGTATTTCAGATCTCTTTGCCAATAGGAGCCCATTCTCTTAAATGAAGCAAATAAAAATAGAGCTTTCTTTTGTATATATCACTATAAAAGCTTTTGATACAAGGCATAATAAGACACTGTTTTGTTACTCTTGTATGTGCCTCCTTTCATTTATGGCACTCAGAATTGTTTGCAAACATCGACTAATAGCATTTCAGAACATCGTTATATCAATGTTTGGACCATAGTAAACTTTTTATAGAAGAGCTTGGAAGCATTGATGATGCTGGAGAGATCTGGGCATTTTAGTTTTTGTTGGCCATTTTATAAGCATCCTGAAAGTGTCATGGTAAAACATGGATAAAACCAAAGAGGGTGGGGAGACAGAAAAAAATGGAATCTTGTGGTACTTTTATAGCTGGCTTATTTTAGCACCAGCTTTTGTGATTACTACTTCCTGAGATACACCGATGCAGTATATATGTGGCATTTGAGGGTAGAAGTAGAGAGTATGGTATAGGAGATTAGCTTCTGACATCACACCATCTGATCCTGCACATGATTGTAGAGGTTCAACCTATTCTTCGTTAAACATAATGGAATGCATTACATTGTGTTTTTTGTTGTTATCATTGCTCAAGTCTTAAAGCTTATCTTAAATCTAGGCTCCAGTGTGTAAAATCCACATTTTTATTTCTATCTTCTGGTCTTTGTAGGACCCAACTTTACAGGACCTGGAAAGCAACTTTTTCATACAGCAGAAGCTGGTGGAGGCCGCAAAAAAACTTGCTGGTGAGCCTGACTTGTGCAAAAATGTGAAAAAGAAAAGGAAGCAGGAGTACACCGAGGCAGTGAAAAAGCTTCAAGAGATTGAGAACTCTATTAATGAATACAGGATCAAGTGTGGGAAGAAACCTGCTCAGAAGGCAACCCTGAGCTTACCAGGTATCAAAATAATGTTCTAATGAGATGGGGTGTATCTGGGTTTGTTTTTAATACTAGTTTCTTTGATTGTGTATTTACATCAAATAGAATAAAATGAAATGCATGATTTGGATTCAAATATCAGACAAGCAAAATATTGTCTTGCCCGGGCAAAATCAATGTTTCCTCCCCCAATAACTGCTGCTGCAAAATCTGAAGCTTACGTGTAGTCTGACGGCAGCGTTTTATGTAAGATGTGGTTGAAAGGGAATATAGACGAAGTGCAGCCACACAAGCACAGGCATGTTCAAAGGAGAATGCAAACCCAAGAATTATTGGGCAGAGAAGGACTGATGGCATCCTTCTTGCCGAAACTAATTCAGTACGTTTCTGTTATATGCCAAATGCTGGTCTGAACAGAAACTGGATCTTCTGTGTCTGAAAGAGCAATGTGGGGAAGAGGGGTCTTGGTTGATGTTGGGTTTATTATGATTCAAGCTCTCAGTTAAAACAGGGCTCTCATTCACACACTTAACAACAAATGTAAGAAGAGGTGGCAGGGAGAGGAAAAGGAAGGGGAAGCATGAAAAATGACATGTCAGTTTTTGAGCATCCAGCAATGAAGTGTGTCTTGTTGACAAGTAAATATTACTGTAATAATGGTAAATTTAAGAGATTCATTGTAAAAGAAAGTATAGATGCCTGTAAAGACAAGTATTTTGTAAGAGCTGTAGTAAAAGATGCTGAGTCAAACTGTTGCCAGTGGCCCCAAAATGTAAAATCCCAGGCCCATAAAAGGTCTGTAGAGGTATATTTCTACACACAATAAAGTGGCAAATGCTGCGCAAAATTTCCAAGATGCCTGCAATATTTATTTTTAAAGTAGCTCTCTTCCATATCTGTCCATAAGAAAATCTAGATTGGGTTTCTTTAAATTAAGTCACTCCCAATAAACTCATAGTTAATGGCCTTTGTTTTCCATTGCACACCACCTTTTTGATTTTTGCAAAGAGCACCCTTTAAAAGGCGGAAAATATAGCAATGGGTAACTGCGAGGTCCTCTTTTATTTGTGTGTTTGTAGCTCTGTTACTCTAACCAAAATCCTGTATTGCAGAGCATAGTGTAAGAAGTTCCAATGGCAGAGCAGTGCTACATCTCTCCACTCAATTTGGCTCCTGCAACACACACACAGAGTCGTTTAGAGGTAGTAGAGAGTACAGTGTTCAAAGAAGTCTGGCCATGTCTCAGTAGCCCAAAACCAGGGTCCTCAAGACTCTCCACAGATGATATACTAATTCTGTGTTTGATCTAGCCAGATATTTCCCCAATTCCTCCTCCACCAGTACTACCACCATCTGCAATGGTGGCAGAGAGAGGACTATCCCAACAAATGGTGAGTCCAGGGAGAAGAGCTTTCAATAATCTGTGGGTAAAAAGAGAATACTACCCTTGACAACATCAAAAAGAAGACATACAAAGATGCATGTTGGACTTACACGAGTATGTCATTTAGAAGATGTTAGCCTCTATCTCCAATCTGAATTATATTTTTAGATAATGAAAGGCTAATGTAAATAATAAGACAGAATCTAAGTGACAAGCACATTTTTTTCTTTGAATGTACAGTTGGCCATCAGTTTCCGCAGGGGTTTGGTTTGAGGACCTTCTGTAGATACCCAAATTCATGAATGCTCAAGTCCCATTAGATACAATGGTGTGGTAAAGTGGTGTCCCTATTATAAAATGGCAAAATCAAGCTTTGCTTTTTTCTTTAATATTTATTCAAGTTGTAGATAGTTGAATCTGTGGATAGAGAATGCATAGATAAAAGAGATCTGGCTCCATTGCATTTTAAAAGTTAGAATATATGACTATTTCGCCTAATAAACCAAAACATCTGAATCTTGTCTCGATCGAGCTTTTCTGAGGGCTCCATGCATTTGGGTGCTTGACTCTGGATTGTCTTGGTAACCCATATTGCCAATTGCTTATCTAGTTGTGAGCAACACAGCTTTGGACAGACATGTGGGAGGGTGAATATAGCAAAATAGATCGGTATGAGAGATTGGTTCATAGCTGGTGCCTGTGTTTTGAGCAAAAGGTTGAAATGTGTGGAGGAGGACTGCCTGAATGACTCAAGTGTTGGAAAACAAGTCATTGCAGGGAGGAACATAAGGAGTTGGGCTAGATTCAGCTCATCAGAATGAAGTCTAAGAGGATTACAGTGATTATAGCGTTCACAGGGAGCGAATGTCTCGATAAACCAAAACGGATGCTTTAATCAAGTAGAAGAAAGTATCAGAAATACCAGTGGCTGGCAGTGAAAACTGGACAATTCATATTGGAGCATTCTTAGCACGGGTGCCAATACATGAGCTGATTTTGTGGCTATGCACCAATAAGACACCATCTGCCCTGAACTCTGCAGCAGGAGGGAAGCCTGGCAGCTTTACGCTAAGCCATGGAAGCTGCGCTGCAGGCAGACATTACTGCTGGTATGACTGCTTTTGAGGTATTGACATTCTGTCTGGCATCACCTGTGCTAGACAATGTCTGTTTTTTTAAAAATCTGTAGTTAACCTACTGCCACTGTGTCAAATATCTGAACTTCAGCTCAGAACAGCAGTACCATAACTTAGAAATGTGATTATGACTGTTAAACATAATGGCGATATTCTAGATTTTTAATTTAGTGACTTAGCATTTGGTTCTAGTTGACCAGTGTGGGAACAAAGCCTAGGCATTTGGTCTGATCTACCAAAGCTATTCTTAGGCTGTTGGGTTGTTGTACCCTTCTCTACTATTATTCCAACTAGGAGCAGTGATATGAAAAGACCTGCTTTGCTAGAGCTTTTCTTGATAAAGTTAGTGGCAGTCACTAACTTTATTACTAACTTCTTAAGCCCATGTTTCTCCCCTGCCTGCAAATTCAGGAATCTGTCAACTTGGCTCTGTCAGCAGCATTGAATCTCAGTTGGCGACTTGATGCTCTTAAAGATCATGCAGCCATTCCAGTTCTAAAACGTTAAAATGTTTGCACATAAAAGAAATTACTGCCCACGGTTGTTTAGGTTTTTGCAAAAAAATTCAGGAGTACAAAAATGACAGCAGGTTCTGAGAAAAGTAAGATAAAAGCTTATCAAGGGACATGATGCAGTGAGTAATAATTGGAGCACATCATATTATTCCCATGCTTGTCTCTGTACTTAAATATGATTGGTCTGGTAACAAGCAGAGGTTGTTTGAAGTGGGACTGAATATACTGAAAACACTATTTCTGCTGAGGAACTAAAAGACTAGCCCTTTTTCCTCATTAGGAGGAGCTCTTTGTTGAATATTGTCAAAATAGAACAAAAAAGGAAGATAGATGTAAGTGTGTATATATGAGGCAGGTCCATAATGGAAAGGGGAGATACACTGATTTCTAGACACTCAGTGTCAGAAAGACAGAAATTGATCGTAGTTATATTTAAGTATTTCTTTTCAATAAGGACCAAAAGCTTAATTTTTGTTAATGTAATAATAATAACAAAAACAAATGAAATAATAATTGAAGAAATATCTTTGAGTCATACACCTTCACAGCAATTACTGCCTTTTGGTCAGTTTCTGATTTACAAGGTGTAGTACCATTTTAAACTAAATTCTCAGACTCTTTGTGAGACAAGACAATTGTAAAATGTAAAATTGTAAAATGTAGCCTATCAATAATGTCTGCATTTCCGAAGTGCCTCGGGCAAAGAAAACTATTTTCAATTCATGACTAGCAGCACCTTCACAGTTTATCCTCATTCTGAATTTTCAATGGAAGTGATTGCACCTATTCTGAGAGAATAATTACAGTATGTAACAAAATTTGAAAAAGTTCCTGTTCCTGGTTTGAAAGTGTCATTTCTGTTTAATTGTGCAGTAGTTACTTTGAAAGTAGTTGTTATACTCCAGAAATTTCATTTTTGTGCTGCCACAAACTATGTTGAATTGGTTGAGACTAGATGAGATATTCCA